TCGGCGCCTCTGACCACCACTAACACAGGCAAGTTGGGTGAAGTGTCTTGCCCAAGGACACAACAGCAGGATACCCCTGGCGGGAGCTGGAATCGAACCCATGACCCTCCGATCATGAGGCAAACCGCTCTACCACCTGAGCTACTGCTGCCCAATGCGAGACAGGAAGCCACACACAGTTCAGTGTAAAATCCCTGGCTATTTTCAAAATAAAATGCAACATTGCGATGTTATATGTAACTTGCGTCAGCACGTGTGACCGAACGGCTTTGTTTACCACCATTTTCTTTCAAGAAGTGCAACGGTGTGATTCTCAGCATGGACGACGAGGCTTCAATCCTGGCAAGTCACGGGGGTTGTGATCTCTCGATGAGGAAGGATGGCGGAAATCTTGAGGGAATTCGTTGTCTCATGAGGAAGGTGTGGGAAGTCTTGAGGGATTTTAGAATCTCGCGAGTACAGCGAGGCGCAGCGAGGAAGCCGTGCAGCGGCCAAGACTCTCCTGGTGGGAAAAGGACCGCTTTGAAGTTTGCAAGTGCTTGCAGTGTGAAACCGGGGTTACGCCTTGAATCACACGTGTTGTACTTCGATTTAAATGAAAAGTAATGATGTGTGTTTCGGCCATGCCTGTCACGCACTTTGAGATTCATCAGCTTGTAAATGTTCTAATTTGCACGACTACAAATCAGACGTCACCACAGAATCTTCCCTGCCCTAGCGTAGCTGCTACTTACCACGTGGTCAGATTTATGGTGGTTCTTTCATCCTGAGAGAAGGATTTGAAGTTTGCTAAACTTACAGGCGCTTTTCCTCTGCTCTTCTCCGTATCTGGTTCGATGATGTAAGTTTGGTAATGCGCATTTGTAGTCCAACAGGTCATTTGACACAAAATCTAAAAAATCTTTTGTCGCCGTTCAAAAATAGGCGCTTCCTTGTCATCAGAATGTGTCTTTAAAATTCACAGACATGTGAAATCCATGGCAGATAAATGGGATTGGAAAACAGCATTTTTTGTTACATTGACTTGCATTCATTCTTTATAACTTCCAGGGACCAGTGGTCCGGAAGTGAATGGACTTGACTTTGTCTGCCTATTTGCTCTGCACTGCTGAAGTTTAATCGCCACAATGAGTACTACCACAAGATCGATAGGCGGACTGGTGTCTGCATCTGCAGTGATGTGGGCGTTGTACCAGTCTGCCACAGTGAAGAGAGAGCTGATTTACTGTTTGATCTACGCTCCTACCCTCACCTATGACCACGAGCTTTGGGTGGTGACCGAAAGAATGAGCTCGCAGATACAAGCAGCTGAAATGAGTTTTCTCCACAGGGTGGCTGGGCTCTCCCCTAGAGATAGGGTGAGAAGCTCAGTCATCCAGGGAGTAGACCCGCTGCTCCTCCGCATTGAGAGGAGCCAGTTGAGGTGGCTCAGGCATCTCGTTAGGATGCCCCCTGGATGCCTCCTTGGTGAGGTTTTCTGGGCACATCCAACTGGCAGGAGACCCAAAGAAAAACCCAGGACATGCTGGAGGGACCACGTCTCATGGCTGGCCAGGGAACGCCTTGGGATTCCCCCAGAGGGGCTGGTCCAAGTGACTGGGGAGAGGGAAGTCTGGGCCTCTCTGCTTAGGCTACTGGCCTCGCGACCCAACCCTGGATAAGTGGTCAAAAAGCGGATGGATGGAGGAGTTCTGCCATGTGGTGGAGTTGTTAATGCTAACGGTTAGCTTCTGCTAGCCAAGACATTCTGTTTCCTGGGCGCTAAACCAACAACAGCCAATTTCAATAGAACCTGTCTGAATGCATGAGGTAGTTTAAAAGTTCCAAAAACATTTAAGTACAGAATAACTCAGAACCATACCTAAGGAGGAATGGCCTCTATGATGGAGACCAAACCCTCTTCCTTATCATAATTACAACACAATAAAACTTTGAGCTGATTTCCAAGACTTTTGGGAAAACATTCTGTGGACGGATGAAATAAACGTGGAGCTTTTTGGAAGCTGTGTGACAGAAAAACAACTTACCAGCAGCAGTCAAACAAGATAGTGGTGGTGTGACGGTCTGGAACTGGTTTTGTGCACTAAGAACCGACTTTTGTTCACGACTGACACATCACTAGTGAGTGAGTGGCTGGTTCGTTGATCAATGCATGAAGGAGAATGTCTGACCTTTGACCTTAAACAGGTCATTCATGCTGGAAAACCCTAGTGTAGAAATCTAGACCGACAGAAGCACATTTATTGGGCTCTGTATGTTGGTCTAGCAACGCTCCATTTGAACCTCAGCAGCTCTAGCCAGTCTGGTGGTGGGCCAATCACAGCGCTCTGGTTTGATGGGTGGGATGATGCGACTGAGTGAAACTAATGTGGCGACAGCTCTTTTGGAACAGCTTTGGCATCAACTTTGGACTGTTTAGACTCGGGCTTTTTCTGAGTCAAGAGCAGATAGAAGTATTCATGTTTATTTAGAAAAATGAGGTTAGTTGCATCTTCTTTGATAGAGTATGGCAGACTGTCTCACCGACCGACATCCGTAGCGGTGAGTGTGTCATGTTATTTGTTGTCAGCATGCAGAGACAGTTTGATAGACAACCGCAGATCCCATCGACGACTGGGAACCATCAGTGGGTAGTGGCCAGACTACATGTATAGGATGGCTTACCAGGTCAGGAAACCCCTCCAGTGAGACTGAATTAAAAAATGTCCACAAAGTGAGACAAAATTCATCCATAACACCATGACTTTTATCACCAATCATCAGAAACACGACTGATAAATGAAGCATTCATCTGAAACATGAAACACTGCAGCTTTAACTTAAGAATTATCAGGAATCTTTGTGGTTTGTGCTTTTGTCCATCTGTCTTCCTTCGGTCTTCTAGGATCTGTACTCCTTCAGACCTCGACTCTGTATTTTATTGTTGGCCTCATCCGTGCAGAAAACAAGCCCCCACCAACACGCACACATTCTAGTCGTGATATTCAATCGGAAGTGTGCTACGCTGGAATCTCTGGCCTAAACATGCTGTCCTGCTGTTTTTCTCTGAATGGAGGGATGGAGGGCTGCTGGCCACAGACTTCATCAGCATCAATCCTCAGCGCCACTGTCTTTTGAACTGTGGTCCTGGTGGGATCTGACAATGGGTTTCCATTACACCAAGCCACAGAAAACACACGCAATCTGTCAAACTGTGATCAACAATGAAATCACTTAAACATCCCGTCTGGATGTGGCGAAGCTGCTCAGAACATCTAAACTATCCACTGCCTTTACGGAAAAACGGGAATAAAATATAACAGGCTCTTGTTTGACTGCTAAAACTTCTTTTTCCATTATTTGTACTCTCTGGAAGGTTTGTGGAATTTAACGGGAAAACAAGACAATAGTTTGTTCCTGCCAGATAGACAAAAGGAAATGTAGGTCACTGTAAAGGATTGATTAAATATGGCACAAATCAGACAATAAACAGCATTCAAGCAGCTTTTGTTCACATGAACTTAGAGGTGCTGCAAGAGAGGTTTTGAAAAATGTTATTCAATCAGTTATGAAAGCCTGTTTTACTTTAAGCTTTTTAATGATAGTTTTTTGTTCAAAATAAAGTTTAAATCATTTTTAAAACTAGAGAAATTCCTCTTAGGTTCGAAAATTCATTTGTTACATAGGCTGCTGCATACCAGGACAGTTCCCACGTGCTCAGTAACACACACACACACACACACACACACACACACACACACACACACACACACACACACACACACACACACACACACACACACACACACACACACACACAAGTCAGGGTCCAGGCACGGTGACAACACATGAACACATCATCCACAGACTGAATCTCGTCACAACACCATCTAGTGTCTAGAACTGGGATTAGGGAATTACAAAAAAACATAACTTAGTCTAGATGGAGAACAAAAATCGAAAATAACTTAAACCAAGACAATTATTGGCTTCTGTGAGTTTTTTTTATACATAAACTGGGTTCATTTAAAAAAAAAGAGTCCAAAACTCACCAAAAAAGCTCTCCAATCGTCAATCATCTTGGGAATCCGCAGCGTGTTGCGCCTTTACGCACCGCGTTTCCGTCAGGTGAAGATCAGCCGAAATCATTTGAGATTTGAGACCCCGAGGGTAAAACAGCCCCCCCCCCCCCACACACACACACACACACACACATACACACATACACACACCACCACCACCAACCATCATCCCCACAGCGACTCGAGGAAAGTTGCAAATGACTCACTTTCTTCCTCAACAAAACGCGGATGGTTTAAAAGTCAGAGCGCCTCAAGGAATGAAATAATAATAATAAAAAAATCCCTGCATGGGAAACATTTTAACAAGCCTTTAAGCGGTCAGGAATGCTGGACAAAAAGGGGGAAATATGTTGATTATGTAGGCTACTGCCATACCAAATATGGTAATATTGTTACGTCTGCGCGCTGGTGCGCATCTGGAAACGCTTAGCTGTCCCGAATAAAGAGGCTGGAGAGCCAGAAATAGACATTGTTAAACGTATTTCTGCCCTGGAGTCACACAGAAAAGCACCTCCTGCTGTTCTAGGTGTGCCTTCAACACTTCATATCAAAAATAGTCCCGATTATCAAAAGCAGAGGAATATTAACTCAGAACATCTGAACGCTTGAGTTTGATGTTTGTGTCACGCGCACCTGTTTGTTACAAATGCTATTATTTTATTCTAATATTATAAATATCCATAAAGCGCCTAAGTTCAGTACAACTGAGTGGGTGGATGTGAGAAGCAGGAATTGAGAGAGAAGATAAATAAAAGAAAAATGGGTTGGAAAAGTGTGTTCAGACGGGATGCAGGGAGGAAAAATCCACCCGAGAAAGAAAAAAAGAGAAAGGTATAGACAGGGTGGAGCTTAGGTCTTGGATGGAAAATGCGCTGAGAAACATTCCTGGCATTCCTTGGCAGCTGCTCAGCGGAGACGACGTCAGCTTCCCACTAGTGGATATAAGCGCAGAGGTGGCCAGACCTCAGCAGACTGCTACCGCTTTACCGAGAGTCTCATCCACTCCTAAGGAGCCCGAACGCCAGAGACAAGGAGCAAACAGCGCGAGACCTAGAGAGGGAATACCCCAGACTTTTTCCTCAACCGGGAACAGGATTCCTCTTTACGCGCACTAGAAATCTGTCCAAGATGCTGTTTTCCACGTTTGTTGTTGTTTTCCTCGGAAGCCTAAACCTGGTGAGTTTTTACACTGCTTCATGTATCCCCTCCCCCCCAAAAAATATATTTCAGACACTTCCACACGTTTTGTAGTTTTTTAAGCCTTTCAGTATTTTCTAATCTAAATGTTCCTGCTGGTTTCGCGCAGGTCCTCTCCTCCTCCTCTTGCCCCTCCGTGTGCCCGCTGGAGATGCCCAAGTGCGCTCCCGGCGTGAGCGTCGTCCTGGACGGCTGCTGCAAAGTGTGCGCCAGGCAGCTGAACGAGGACTGCAGCCTGACCGAGCCGTGCGACCACACCAAAGGGCTGGAGTGTAACTTCGGAGCCAGCTTTGCTGCTCCCTCAACTCGAGGCATCTGTCGTGGTACGTACTCATCTCCAGATGTGCGTGCCTGTGAGATAGCGTGGAGCCCTTTCTCCCCTGAATAAGATGGATTTTACTCAGGATCTGAGTGATTTCAACACTGAGGAATGCAGCCAGGGAGAAACTAGTCAAAACCTCAAAGCCCACTGTGAAGGAGAAAAGACTCCTCAGAATTTCACAGATCCTTATATCTGGCAGCCATGCGATGTCTTTATCAGACATCTTTGAACAGAGCAGGAAAGAATAACATTCCTTTCCTTCTGTTTTTTCTTCTTCCGTGCTGCAGCCAAGTCAGAAGGCAGACCCTGTGAGTACAACAGCAAGATCTACCAAAACGGAGAGAGCTTCCAGCCCAACTGTAAACACCAGTGCACATGCATCGACGGAGCGGTGGGATGCGTGCCGCTGTGCCCGCAGGAGCTCTCCCTGCCCAACCTGGGCTGCGCCAGCCCCAGACTGGTCAAAGTAGCAAGCCAGTGCTGTGAGGAGTGGGTGTGCGATGACGGCAAGCAGATGGACATCTTAGAGAAGATCTTTGGCAAAGACATGCTGACTGATGAGCAGGAAAAGGACCTTACCAAAAAGAATGAGCTCGTTCCAGTTGGCAAAGGAGGACTCAAATCCCTACCTGGTAAGAATCATCAGAAAACTTGTTTTTTTTTTTTTGGGGGGGGGGGAGCTGTGCTTATGTAATCGTGATATATAAATCAGTGATTTCATTTTCTTTTGCAGCTTTCAGATCACAGCCTGAGGTCCACATGTTTGACAGCCAGAAGTGCATTGTCCAAACCACGCCCTGGTCCCAGTGCTCCAAGAGCTGTGGAACTGGCATGTCCACCAGAGTGACCAACAACAACAGCGACTGCAAGCTGGTCAGAGAGACGCGGATCTGTGAAGTGCGACCATGCACCCATTCAACTTACTCCAGTCTGAAGGTGAGCTCTAGTCGACAGTGACCGGATGTTTTGAGAGTGTGCATGATGCTGCTGGGTGGGTAGGTGTGTGAGTGTGTGCACAGGACTAATCATCTCTCTCCTGCTCATGTCTGCAGAAAGGAAAGAAGTGCAGCAGAACCAAAAAGTCCAGCCAGCCGGTGAAGTTTACCTACGCCGGCTGCTCCAGCTTGAAGAAGTACCAGCCCAGGTACTGCGGAGCGTGCGTGGACGGCCGCTGCTGCAGCCCCCACGACACCAGAACCATCCGCGTGAAGTTCCGCTGCGAAGACGGCGAGACCTTCCATAAAAACATCATGATGATCGAGTCCTGCAAGTGCACTTACAACTGTCCACGTGCCAACGAAGCCTCCTACCCCGTCTACCGCCTCTCCAACGACATCCACAAGTTCAGAGACTGATCCCAGTCAGGCGAGAGGAAGACTCGCGTCATCGTTGGCGGTCCAGATGAATGCGCGAGGACACCGAGACCACCAGCCAGCTTCCGTCTTCTTGTTGTAACTAGATTCCCAAGGAATTGTGGGCTTACATCACAAGGACTAAATGAAGTGCACTGTCTGCTGTGACTACATCAGCATCCCTTATCTAAGCTGCTTCATATTAATGGAGCCTTTAAAGTAGCTTCGTCATGGAGCAAGATGTAATTAATATTTGTACATTTATGCTAGTAGCTAAAATCTGTTCACTGTGTACAGTATATTTTGATCCTTCATGGCGGACATGACCCGGACTGTAGACTTGCGTGTGTATATGTAGATATGCACATCCACCATTTCCGTTAGCGTTGTCTATCCTAAGAACGAGACTTCGAGGCGTGACCCCTCGACTTGTTTAACGAGTGCCGAGGTCCCTTCCCTCCTGACGTGGGCATTATTGCTCATGTTTTGTGGCAGCTATTGATGTCCCTTCATGAAAAACCAACAAAAAAACCAACGCAAAACATGTCAAAAGGATGAATGAATGTTTTTAATATTGTTATTATTTATCTTAAAAAATGTAGCTACTTTATTTGGATATTATGTTTAATACTGGAATAAATTGTAAAATGATTTAATTTTATATGCTACAATAAAACTGATTTATTTATGGAACATGAAATGGACTCATCCTGGTTTGTTTGACTGCGAGAAACAGTAAACAGTCATCTTGTGTGCAGAAGGGCAGGAGGGAGAGTGGGAACTCCTCCTGTTATGTCATCCAGAGCCGAACCCGTGTGTTTTTATACAACTCAGACCTAGGTTCTCCCTCTCCTGACTTCCTGTGCTTCGGAATGCCGTTCCGCTTTCATTTGATCCGGCTAAACGGTTCACTTGTCTGCTCCTGAGAAGGAAGGGGGGTGAAGATTAAGTCCGTGAGTAGCAATGAGTGTGAGAGTATGCCAAGAATCTTAAACACTAACGTGAACGGGCTGGGATTAGACACCATAGACACGTGTAAGCGACGATCGGGAGCAGGATGGGCTTCAGTTGGAGCAAAACAAAGTTTACGCTGAAATTAGACGTGTTTTTATGTCATCATCTGCTGTCACCAGGTTTCCCTCTGCATACCCCAATATTCATAAAACGTGTGCAATGATTAAATCATTCAGCTATGACACAGAGTTCTTCTTTCTTCTGGAAGGGGTTTGACGTCTGCAGCTGCATGGCACAAACACCGAGAGCAGAGCTCAGGGGCAACGACAGGGAAGGGCTTCTTCTCAGATCCAGGTAGAGGGAGCGGCTCAGGAATGCAGCAGCGGCTCAGAGGGCAGACATCCTGATGGGCGGCAGATGTTGAAAAATATTTCAGAGCAACATGTTCGCTTTGGCCGGGAAGACTTTTTTTTTTCTAAATTTACACAAACACTCCCAAGAATCCACAAAAGATGATTCATCTCTGCTTAACTGTTTAAAACCTGATGCTGCATGGCATCTTTGTCGTCTTTCCCACACGGCTGCCGACAGAAACTCGTGATCGAGTGCGTTTGGTCTTTGAATGAGACGAATGCCACACAAGATGTGTCCACTGACGCTCCCATGAAAGGCTTCTGAGGTTTTCCTAATCACGAAGACGTGTGGCTGCCTTGTTTTGTTGGCGTTTACAGTTAAAAACACGTTCAGGGAGCCTTGAATCTCTGCTTCTTTCTCCTCACCCCTTCAGAGTTTGGTTCCAACATGCTATCAGGCGGCTTTTAATCTAGATAGCAGTAAGCGACTTGCTCGGTTATGTAATCTGTGTGTTATGTGAGCAGTGGTGTGCATCATCTAAACTAGAGTTCCTTTATGGTGTCGACAAGCTCACGATCCTTTGGCCTATTGGGGAGCCCAGAAATTCGGTTTGTTGTTCAAATCAGGCTGCAGAGAGCCCAGCTGCAGAGCGCAAACCTTTTGAAACCATCATTCACACAAAGGCGCCCCTGCAGTGACATCACTCCACGACTACCTCATTAGCTCGAACCCAAAAACATTTGCCTTAAAGCTTCATCCGGAGCCACTTCAGTAGCGAGAGTTCATAACAACATTCTGAATGCTGCTTAAGCGTGATGTTATCCACATTACACCCCCCCCCCCACACACACACACACACACACAAGCTCAGGTTAATATTTACTGCTATGCTGGACAGAAGGAGCAGAAGGGGTTAGAGTCTGGTGAGACAACACAGACCTTGTTTCAAAAACCACCATCTGCTGGAGAGAAAAGGAAACAACAGTCTGTGTCTGAGTAAACTGGCACACACACACACACACACACACACACACACACACACACACACACACATATATATATATATATATATATATATATATATATATATATATATATATATATATATATATATATTTGAATAATCTGTTTTTATTTTCTCAATTAAAAACTTCAAGTTTCAAGATAAAAAAAAAGTATAACTCACATTCTGCATCCATTTTGTGGTGCCACGTGGGTCTGTACTGCCTCTATAAACACTCCTAATGTGAAAACAATGTGTCAGAGAATGTGGAACTATGCTCCTAAAATGAGCCGTTTGAAAATGTGTTATGTCACAAACGAGGAATTTAGAACAGAACCAGCTCTCATGTGCAACTGCTGCTGCTGGAGAAGCAGCGGCTCTATTCCAAGCCCCTCCCGGTTATCAGAGCTTTTGAGCTTTAGCAGCCAGAGTGGGGATGGGTGGGCGTGGCCAGCAGCAGCTTGTTTCCTAAAAGTGATAGAGCCCTGAAACTGTCAAGAAAAAATCTACAGAAATAGCTTTATGTGAGAGAGATTTAACGCAAAGAGCTTTGTAAACATGTTTCGTATCAACCATTGAACAATTCTAATTTAAGAAATAAAGTCATGATTTGTCTCATTAAAAGACTTCTAAATCTTCACAGGGTGAGGGACACTGTTGATGTGATCAGCACAACAAAGGCAAGGCAGCTTTATTTATGGAGCACATTTCAAACACAGGGAAATTCTATGTGCTTTATAATTAGCATGAAATGGCACAACAACAACAATAACAACAACAACAAACATGACAACACAAATTAAAATATACACAAATAAAATTAGAGCTAAAAGGAAAAGACAGAATTAAGGTTGAGCAATTACATCAGAGTCAATGCAGCATAAGAAACAGTTCATTCAAACACCGATGAGTCCATTAGGGTTTTAAGCTTTGATTTAAACAACACTAGGTTTGGGGCAGATCTGAGGTCCTGGGGGAGCTGAGTCCAAATGTGAGCAGCATAGTAACTAAAAGCATCTTCACCTTGTTTGGTTCTGACCCGAGGTTCTACTAGCTGATTTTTACCTAAAGATCTCAGAGCCTTATTGGTCTATTGGAATCAGTCACAGTCCTCTGACACACCCATTGGTCCCCAGCTGTAATCACATAAAAGGTCCTGCTTATGGAGAGGTGAGCTTGGAGATGTCCTCAGGAACATATTATATTTTTAGTCATTCTTCTATGTTTTCGTCGTCATCGTCGTCTTCCTCCGCTTATCCGGGTCGCGGGGGCAGCATCCCAAATAGGGAGCTCCCGACCGTCCTCTCCCAAGCCACCTCCACCAGCTCCTCTGGCAGGACCCCAAGGCGTTCCCGGACCAGATTGGAGATGTAACCCCTCCAACGTGTCCTGGGTCGACCCGGGGGCCTCCTGCCGGCAGGACATGCCCGAAACACCTCCCCAGGGAGGCGTCCAGGAGGCATCCTGACCAGATGCCCAAACCACCTCAACTGACTCCTTTCGATTCGGAGGAGCAGCGGTTCTACTCCGAGTCCCTCCTGAATGTCCGAGCTCCTCACCCTATCTCTAAGGCTGAGCCAGGCCACCCTACGGAGGAAACTCATTTCGGCTGCTTGTATCCGCAATCTTGTTCTTTCGGTCATTACCCAAAGCTCATGACCATAGGTGAGGATTGGGACGTAGACCGACCGGTAAATCGAGAGCCTGGCTTTCTGGCTCAGCTCCCTCTTCACCACGACAGATCGGCTCAGCGTCCGCATCACTGCAGACGCTGAACCAATCCACCTGTCGATCTCCCGATCCCTCTCTTTGACAAACACATTTGCATCCTTAGCATTCTTCTGCACTTCCCACAAAATGTAACCATACCCTGAATCAAAGTTACCTGAAAATATACTCCTTTACAGAACTTTTTTTTTCTTTTATGGAATGTTATCATCTACACTCCTCTACTTTCGGTATTCAACACCTTGGACCTTAGCATTCACCTCTTCTTTGAACCTTTTCACAGACTATCGTTGCAGCTGGTAAGTGCAAGATTTCCAAGTACCTTGAATCTGTCACAATGGTTTATGCTTGTTTCTTGTGTAGGGTTAATGACCTACACATAGGAATTAAAGGCTGTTGCTATCAGCTTATGTTTAATTCCTAAGAAGATCAAACGAATTGACGAATGAAATTTATATGCATATATACACATAAGGATATATATATATATAAATTCATACACCAACTTGCTTGGTCTATGTTTAATCAAAAGATTATAATATTTATTTTTAAACATTTAATTTAATAGCAAAGGTTATTTGTTAATTCAGAAGATCTAAAGACCTTTGCTTGTTCAGTGATCAATATACACCCTCTCTGTGTTTATTTCAAGAAAAAGTCAAGTTTACAAAGGTTAAGAAATGTTTTACCAAACAATTTAAAACATGACAATTTAAAAAGACAATTTATAAAAGGCTTTGGTATTAAAAAAGACTTTGGTATTAAAAAGCAACCCTGCGTTTGGATGAATCTATGATGAAGTGTGTTTGTTTGCGGGTGAATGCGGTGTCTCAGAACGTGTATCCTAAAGAGAGGACGCGTTCTGAGTAGAAAGAATTTGGTTTGCAATAAGCTAAGTTGTTCTTATTAAAGAGCATTCAGATGCAATCTGTGTTCTACCTCACCGTCAGGCGACCCTCGTCGTAGATCCGGAGGTCAGAGGAGGATGTTGAACAGCCTCAGGGTACTGGGTCCGCTAGGGAAGACCAATGGTACCGACTCGTTCCGGTCCTAGAGATGCCGCAGGCTCACAGGTGGAATTGGTTTGCATCTGAGCAGATTCTTAAGGAATCTCGTAGCGTCAGCTTGTTCTGCAGGTGTCGTTTTGTTGTGTCGGAGTAACTAGCTTGTCGGCCGTCCTAACCTTCTCTAGAACTCACTCGCAAATGACAAGAGTTCTGTTTAAAAGGATGGCTATTATCATATTCTAACGAATCAGGTTTTGACATGTAGAAGGAAGGTTTAACAAACCCTTGGAAACACGCCTCCCTGAAGATAGAAGGTTCTGGTGTGTATGGGAAAAGATCATGTGGGTGCAAGTTACCTTTCACCTAGTCACTCTGTGTCCTATGTGAGCTGACTAAGTGTACAGGATTCTTCTTGTCATGATCAAACATTACTGATTATCATAAATAATTATTAACCAAAGAATAATAATTCATTTCAGTAATTAAACACAGTTATAATGAACCTTGATGATTGACAGTAAAAAGAGTTTATTTAAGTGATTCAAGGTCACGGTGGTCAGCAGTAACCACCTGGCATTGTACAATCCTAGAGGCCCAAAGGACTCCGTAGAGGAATGGCAGATGTAATGTCCCAGTTGAAGGCAGAAGGAGTGA